TTTTAGCCACCCAGATCAAGTGGACGGGCGCCGCCTGTCAGTACTCCTGTAGATCCAGTGAAGAATCAGGAACTCGTCAGAGCAGGCCCCATGATGCTATGAAAAGCTGCCTGCCTGAATGCCTGTAGATCGGTTAAACTCCAGGAGCTCCCCAGTGCAGGAGTAAGCCGCTCTCAGACAAATGGACGCCCCTGCCCAGGACGCCGTAGACCCAGACGCGCAGGCTATGAGGACGTCGGTATAAGCCACAGCCGAGAAGGACCTGGACGAATCTGCGAGGACGTGTGGATGACGATGCCGCTGAGTACTACCTGGATGAGGACTACGAGGACAACTGGACGGACCGAAGTCAAGGGGGACCTAGGCAAACCTTCGAGGACGTGTGGACGTCAATGTCAGATGGATGCACCAAGGACCAAGATGAAGAGGCTGACAACAAGGAGATGCATGAGGACAACCAAGAACAGGAACATGACGAAGACCGGCGAGGACCGATCAGGCGAAAACAAGGACGTACGCCGTGAACCCTTGTCATTAGCCAATCCGTGTCATAGCAGGGGAAGCAGTACGAATGTCAGGTCAACTTTGAGAAGGAGCTATTTTCAGCACCTTGAGGACGAGGCGAGGGTAGGTGGCAGAGCGATGAAGGAGTTACTAAGATGAAGGAGTTACTGATAAGGCACACCGTATTCGTACGACTGTTGTTCTAGTGGCCGCGTGGTCCCCATGTGGGGCATGCCCATGCCACGCTCGCTGACCCACGCCAAGCCATGCCGCCAGCCAAAGGGTGGCAAAGCTGACCTAAGTTGACCGAACTCACTCTCACTCACTCTCTAACGGTCGCCTGCCCTAACAGGGCGTGGGGCATTCTCACTCACACCTTCAGTGACCTTCCCTGTGACCGCTTCTGACCTGAGTAGCCTGCTCTCGGCCCTCTGGCCAGGAGTTCCAGCCAGCGCCATTCTTCATGTATCGTTATTCTTGTGTATGTGTTGTAACTCTTAGAAATAAAGAGAACAGCCATAAAGAGTATCCCTGATGCCACCTGTACTTCAACTACATTATAACCAAGAGGCATTAGTACCTCTTATAATGTCTCTCTCTTCCCAAAATTGTAAATATTCAGTATATTTTTTTTCAGTAATTCTTTGTCTGTTAATCTACAAAATAAGGAAACTATGTAAATAATTCCAACAATAACATGCACTCCATGCTCTATTTTCTAATCAAAGAATTAATTTAATCTACAACAACACAAGTATGTATAAGGCAATCAAAAGACAACTTAAAGGTAATAACTTTATGTACTGTGTTAACATCTGCTTTCAAAATAAATAATAATACATATTGCCAGTATGTACTGTGTTTACAACTTCTACCAATATAAATAATAACAAATAATGCCAGTATGCATATTCATCAATACACAAGAACCACAATTTGGGCATTTGCCACATTAAGCCAGTATGGCCCTAATATTTACAGTATATTCATCAATACACAAGAACCACAATTTGGGAATAAATCCCGCTACATCTAATAAACTTCAAAACTAAGTATCAGCATTAATATCTAAGGCCAATATTCCAAAACAAATTGTAAGTTTCTGCAAGGTAAATGAACCAAGCCGATCTATATAAAAGTAAAACAGCATAAAAAATGACTAACTGACCCTCACTACAAACTATCTACCTGTAAAACAAAACAGATAAATATATATAAATAAATAAATAATAGCAAAACACACACTAATAACACAACAAAAACTCTAATTAAGAGTAAACGTGAAGAGGTTGCCAATGCTCTCAAAGATACTTGGAGGTCTTGTGGTTGGGGCAGGACTGCTTTCGCCTGGGGTAAAATATACAGAAGAGAAAAATTCACAAAAAGGCCTCTGGCTAAAAGTTTGAATGTCATTACACCTCACCCTTTTTTTTTACAAAATTTCAAAAAGGTCCCCTTTAACTGGGGTATCTATTGTCTAATCACTCTATTGTCTAAGGCCACTCAGATATATATCAATTTTACAGATATACCCACACTGCTATACAAATGAAATTACATAAACCTAGCCACACAGAGAAAAGAAAAAGCTACCATCACCCTTTATTTGGAAATCACCATTTTGAGAAAAAAGTAAATAAGAAAAGAGAATTGCCTAAAGTGACCAATAATACTTGTGTGTGACAAACAACCAACCACCATCTTGTCTAAATCATGCGTGTTACCATCAAGAGATATGTAGAAGGAATATACTCACAACTTTATGTGAATTTGTAAGATGACTGGAAAGCTATTTATCTTCTGGAATATTTATGTAACACAAAATCAAAATAAGTATAAACATCATTCTAAGTTGACTCTGCAAATGATCTCTTTTAAAACCATATTGATTCCAATTTTGGTGTTGCATTGGCAAATTTTGCAGAAATCAAAATGTTACAGATGTGCTGACTAACTCGAACATGCAAATATTGAGTTTCTTTTATATTCACAGTGT